GTCGTGCTTGTTCCAGGTTCACCGGATACGCGCGGCTCACCCGACATCAGAAACCCACGTTCTCCGCGGTGGAAGGCTGTTAGGCGAACTATACCCATTGCGAGCATTTGGTGATGTCCGGTTCAAGTGGCCCTTAGATTTACAAAAGGTTCTGATTACAGTCGCTTCATGAGGTTATATCTCTGCTTTTTATAATCATTTTTCAGGTTGTTTTGGAACCGTTAGGTAGTCCAGCTCCTCCCAATCTTCACACTCCTCCTTACCTCACGGTATCACCAGAGGTACTCTACCATAAACTAACGCCTAACGATAAGTTTTTGGTGTTAGCGTCGGACGGCTTGTGGGAATGGCTCGATCCGGACACTGTTGTACGACTCGTATATGACCATACAGTCGGAACGATGACGCTGCTTCCATATCAACCGAAAAGTGGCTCGTCACTTAAGCAGGTAAACCTTAACGTTGTGAATTGAATTGAATTCACTCTGTGCATTGAGAAACTTCCAAGGACCGGTAAAACTTTTATTAAAAACCAATTTGCAATGAAAACGTAATAGGCCAGGAGGATACGAATGAAATGTTTGGAAACCCTGAGATGGTAAAATGGATATGAATCAGGCATGAAGAACACCATTTGTGGGATGTGCCACGCATTCGACTTTCTCGTTGTGAAATTTCAAACGTGATTTAGCCCATTCAGTGAACAACCATGATCAGCCAAAATCGAATCAGCAATTATACTATTTTTCATTCTCTTTTATTTTATTTCATTTTCCACCAGGCCATCCTGTTCCTGGTTAACCAAGCGCTGGAAAACCTAGTGAGTCCAAAATTCAATCAAAGACTTGACCCAAGGACCAGGATGGTAAGCGGCGCCACATGTCTTTACATTATCACCGCATCATAATTTGGATACGACCGTGACGGCAAAAATCCCAAAACCCCTCATTTTATGACCCCGTTAGGGAAGTCTCGAAACCACCTCCACCACTGCACGTGAAGGGGATCACCCACAAATATACCGAAATTACTCTGCCATTGAACGGAGGCTAAGCATGACTGAAGGTACGGCAAATGCCCCTCCATCATGCAGATTTCGTCAAAATTGTTGGAACCTTCACAAACCCTTATTGCCATACCCCAATACCCGCGACCTCTCCGAAAACCCCGAATGTGAATCCCCAACACCGTTCCTCTACAATATATGCAGTGCTTAGTCTGTATGTGTTTCACATTTGTCTGTCACGAAATTCGGTGCTACATATCTGAGGAACTACCAGTAGAGTCCGGGTCAAGCTGGGATGAGGGCACGAAGTAGGAAATACCTATCAGCTGGCGAAGCTGTGTCCACAGTGGGCGGTGCCGACGACAAAAGTTTCGAGTTTAGCTATTCAGCAGAAAGACTAGGAAAATAAGTAAAAGTGTGCACTCAGTTGTTAAGATGAATAGGGAGACCTGCCTGTGGAGGACAGGGCATTCTCTGAGGAAGCGGTGCTCAGTAAAACTCATAACTCTGTTAGGAGAAAGCCTATAGAGCAGAAGGGATTGGTTCAGGAGAGCAATATCTAGGAGGTCTCTAGCATACATGAATTGGGCGGGAGCCCACAGCCCAAATCCTTGAATGGGCAGTGTTTATTACAAATCTTCATAATCCTGCTCACAGGAGTTCCAGAAACCGGAGAGGGAAAAGCTGGTAGAGGTTGGAGAAGTATAGAGAAGTAGGGAAGGTTTAATGCTGATGGTGGGCATGGCGTACAACAAGGTGGGAGGAGTTTGCCACTGAACTTATAAGGAATCCCGGAGAGGGGGTAAAAAGTGGATAGTCTGATAACGAAAGGGAGGTTAACTGTTATAGGAGGGTGGGGCTACACAAGTGCGAAGTTTGCCACGAACCCTTATAAAAATATCGATGGCCCTGTTTATACCACTGAAGTGTGATGCACGCGAATGCGTGCGCAGCCGAACTGGTCAGAAGTATACGAAAACCAGGAATACGGCCTCTCATCCGAAAGTCTCAGATACGGCCCCTCGATGGTAAATTACAAA